GCTGCCGGTACTCTGAGTAAAAGCGTCAGTGTCTGGGTAATTAGAAATGACACTATATAAATCACACTACCCAGGCAGGATCACCCCTCATCTTGACCAATCATGTGAGCGAATTCTCGACCAATCACGTGAGAATTCTCGACCAATCACGTGAGTGAATTCTCGACCAATCACGTGAGTGAATTCTCGACCAATCACGTGAGCGAATTCAAGCGGAATAGGTCTACCTCATGTGTGGGGTGCCAGAGCATGTCAGGGGAGGCACGTAGAGAAGTATAATGAATTAATTAATTAAAAAATAATAAATTATTGATTACTAATTTGAATCAGTACTTTATAACGAAAATAATACCTTAAAAACGAAAAGAAGCCTTTTGTGATCACATTATTTTAAACCGGTAAACTCCTGGAAAGTCCAAGGATCCAGTAAATGAATTCAGACAGTAAGTTCAAAACAGCAGTAATGCAGAGAAAACATGGCTGATTTCATCAGAGATTGTGGAGAGAATAGTGACTTACGTCCAGATGTCATTAAATTATTCTGTTCAACGTGTATTTGGCTTAAAAGCAAGAGTGTTTTATAATAGAAGGTGGTCAGAGGTTTAGCGATTCTGAATGGATCCATATAGTAGGTTTAGTGGTCTTTGGCGTCTCCCTGTGGTCCTGTTTGGTATCGCAGCTTGACTTGTTCTAATTTGTATTGAAAACTTTTATTTAATTATTGATTGATTGATTGTGGTCGCTCACGTGATTGGGCGAGACGAGAGGTGATTCTGCCTGGGTAGTGTGATTTATACACTATATAAATCACACTACCCAGGCAGGATCACCTCTCGTCTCGACCAATCACGTGAGCGAATTCAAGCGGAATAGGTCTACCTCATGTGTGGGGTGCCAGAGCATGTCAGGGGAGGCACGTAGAGAAGTATAATGAATTAATTAATTAAAAAATAATAAATTATTGATTACTAATTTGAATCAGTACTTTATAACGAAAATAATACCTTAAAAACGAAAAGAAGCCTTTTGTGATCACATTATTTTAAACC